CGAGACGAACACTGCATATCAGGAAACCTTAATTTCACCGAGAGATATAATCACAATAACGCTAAGACAAGATGACAAAGCACTAGTGACATGAACCCTAGGGTTAGCAAACCTCTTTCAAGGGTTTTTTTCCAAATGAAAAGTTCGATGAACACAATAATAGACATGGTCGCCGTAATCGTGTTTAGAAAGAGATAGGCGAGGGGAAATACACTGGCGAAGAAGAAACAAGACAAAATTATTTTGGGAAATTCAATCTACGTCGAATGTGGATGGGGAGCTTCTCTTGGAACTGTGAAGGGGCGTCCCTCCAAGACGAGAGAGGGATCGTGTAATTGGTTAGGGAGACTGGAAATTGGTTTGGGCGGCAGTGGGTCTACCCAATTGGGTTTGGGTCTTAATCCATTTAATTTAACCGGGGCAGTTAGTTGGGCTAGGATGAAAACTAACTTAACGCGGAGGAGGCAATTTGTAATTTGTTTAGTTATTTAGTGGCGCAGCTAGGTTTAACAAACGTGAGCCGTGGAGATTGAAAACGAACGGTTAAGATCGGCCAAGGCACCCGTACCCGGGTTTTGCCCTGGGCACCGTAGAAGTCACCATATATATATATATATATATATATATATATATAGAGGTCCATTTGTTGATGTTCTTAAGGCAGAAGGGTTGAGCATAACCATTAGTTTAAATTGTGGTTATTAGTGTGAATCTTTGAGCAGATATGACCTAATGCACTTCCCTTAGTTAAGAAGACAATGTCAGACATTTGGTTTGCTCATGACGAGAGAAGTGCAATAGAGGTTTCGGCTACAGTCGATTAGTCGAGGCTATTGCTAAAGATAATACGAACTAAACGGGTCGTTTGCTTCATGGATTTGAAAAATGAAGGTTTTGGTAAAACCTGGGTTTTGGAAATCCATGGACTTATGAAGGTTTTAGATCCATTATGGACTTTTAAAAATCCATTGTTTGTTTCATGGATTTCATGATGGATTTTGTTTAATGAAATTTGTAGATATTAAGTGAAATTGACCTTATTGCCCCTATCTATAATCTTACAACGAAAGAAGACTCCAAATGTGCAACATATCATCATTAATTAAGCAAATGGTTCATTCTTTGTGTCGGAGGCTGCATTGGAAGGACAAGTGCCGGGGGAGATAAATACTGAACATTAATTGCAAGTTTGAATTGATCTCCATTTTAGTAAGCAAAGCATAACATAAATCAATTGTGGCGATTACTCGAAGGACATTCTTTTAGCAAGCAAAGCATAACATAAATCAATGATTGTGATTACTCAAAGGACATCAAGAATGTTGAATGCTGGAAGTAGAAGGAGATAAAAAAAATGGGAGGATGGCAATGGTGGTGATGCTGGGGTTCTTCGTGCAAGCATTTGTGACTCATAAGGGTCCAATTGGTGATTTTTGGAGCACCTCGCCACCCCATTTCACAATATAATCATTCATGCCTCTGTAGCCGTCACAAAACACCTTGTATGACATATATGTAGAAATTGAAGTAGGAGGGTAGATTGGCCATTTATAAAAAAAAGTGAGGACAAACAAGTAAAGTACCATCATGGATTTTAATCCATCACCCAATTTCCACCTCCATAGCTAGTTTTTCCAAATCCGTGGGGTCCAAATCCCCACGGATTTGGACCTCAAAAGTGCATGGGCCCCACGGATTTACACTCCCTAACTCCTTCAAGCAAACAATGGACTTTTGTCAAAATCCATGAAGCATGCAAATCCATCACCAAATCCATCAACGAAACCCTCGAGCAAACGAAAGTAACATAGTTGTTGAGTTCTACATATTGAATGATTAACGGTAGGAGAATGCAATCAATACAACCAGACAAGGAGGGGCGAGCTCTATCGATAATGACCAAAATTAATATGAGCCAAAATTTCTTTTCTCTTTCGTGAATAAGAGGCTCAATTGCTCAAACTGGAACAACAAATATTTCAAAATTAAAATTTCAAAGTGAAGATTTCAAAGTCAAAAAGAAAAAACTAGGAAAAGAATAGGGCCTCTGTATCATCCTGACCTTTCTTGATCAAGCTATTGTCTGCTTTGGGCATACCCAGTACGGTTTTATTTTTGGCACATCATGATGACTTCCTAAGAGTCTACCATCTTTAACACTGCTCCACCCCGAGCACGTTGAATTTCAGAGGCCTTACAATAACTTATTCAGTTCACCCCAGAAGGCATCTTGTTTGTTAAGACAGGGTGTTCCTTATGAATCATAAATCTCTCTCGTGATTTAGTGATGTGAGATTTTTCTAAAATGTTACACCCACTTGTCACGACTGTTTTCTATGGATCAAGAAATTGGAGGATTCGACAATGCAAGAAAGAATTAAAAACACACACACATGACACATGATTTACATGGTTTGCCAATACAATGTGTGTTAGTTAGTCCACGGGTAGGAGAGAGTTAGTTTCACTATACTTCGAGGAGATCCATATTACAGAGGAGTATGATAAGTACTTTTAGTACTTCTCCACGGTCAGCGAGACCCCCACGACTTCCAATAATAGCGATTGATATTCCGATTCAAGTCACATCAACACCACTCTCCCACGTATCTATTCTCACAACAACCACTCTCTAGCCAACCTCGACCGAGTCCTTTCCTCCTGGTTCCTCTTGCCGTCAACGCTTATGTCATCACCCTAGCCTCCATTTTCTACTGCCCTACCTCAATTAAGCTCTATCTACACCAACAACGACCAAAGTAGCAGCAACAACCTAGGCAATCTCCTTTTTCATTGCTCTCGAGCATCACCATTGTGAGAGAAGTTTCAAATTTTGAGTGCTTTCTACCAACATGATTCGTTTCGAGACTCGTAGATATAATAGGACCACCCATATCAATACAAAACAAGTTTTTTTATCGGCGGTTCAACAACTCATCGACAGGAGACCCTTGTATTGTCAAGTTACGCACACACCGCTTGAGCGAGACCAAATATGAGGGTTCACCTGCTTTAACCCTTTGGGCCCTCCCAATAAGATCCCTTTTTGGTGCCTCTGGGAACACCACAACAGGCCTCGAGGTGGGTTGAACACGTGATCTCACACTTCCCGGTCGACGATCTCTCAAGAATTTTACCAGTTGAGCTATGTTACCTTTGGCACTTGCGAAAAACTTTATTTTCTTCTTATCTAACTATTACTATTTCAAGATATCTATGAAAAAAGGAGATAAAACAATTAAAATAACCAATTCATGTACGACATTCAAATACTGGCGGCTGAGCCCATTTTAATTTACTTATTATTATAATTTATAAAAGCCTAACATTGGAGTTACTATTCATTAGTGTCTCTCACACTCCTCCAAGTGCAAGTGAGAAAGTTTCAAATTCTTCTTTTACCCCACTCTCCATTCTACAAACTTTGTATCGGGACCGAGTTTCGTTTGCTTTAGTGTTTTTTTCTTTCACTTTTTCATTTTTATTGAGCATGATCAAAAATTGAACCCAAATCTATGGGTATCCGACCTAATTCGATTCGGTCAATTTAATATATATTAATTAATATATAAGAGCCTAACATTGGAGTTACTATTCATTAGTGGCTCTCACACTCCTCCAAGTGCAAGTGAAGAAGTTTCAATTCCTTCTTTTACCCCACTCTCCATTCTACAACCTTTGTATGGGGACCGAATTTCGTCTGCTTTAGTGTTTTTTCTTTCACTTTTTTCCTTTTTGTTGAGCATGATCACAAATTGAACCCAAATCTATGGGTATCCAACCTAATTCGATAATATATAAAAGCCTAACATTGGAGTTACTATTCATTAGTGGCTCTCACGCTCCTCCAAGTGCAAGTGGGGAAGTTCCAAGTCCTTCTTTTACCCCACTCTCTATTCTACAACCTTTGTATCGTGACCGAATTTCATCCACTTTAGTGATTTTTTCTTTCACTTTTATTTTCCTTTTTGTTGAGCATGATCACAATCGATCTAAATCCATGGGTATCCAACCTAATTTGATCTGGTCAAATTAATGAATTAATATATAAAAGCCTAACATTGGAGTTATTATTCATTAGTGGCTCACACACTCCTTCACGTGCAACTGGGGAAGTTACATGTCCTTCTTTTACCTCACTCTCCATTCTAAAACCTTTGTATCGGGACCGAGTTTTGTCCGCTTTAGTGTTTTTTCTTTCACTTTTTTCCTTTTGGTTGAGCATGATCACAATTCAACCCAAATCCATGGGTATCCTACATAATTCGCTATGGTCAAAGCGGCTTGAAACCGACTTTAGTATTTATAATTAAAAGTATAATAGCTCAAAACAACAATTACTGTACATCTAGACTGTTTTTCCTATTCATTGTGACTCAAAATTCCTATTCACTGAGTTCTGATTGGTTATTGGCCTATAGTGGGCCCTTTGTGTCCTCTTGCCGTCGTTTAAACGTTTTCTTCTTGCTTTTGTTTGGACTGATCGGAGACGAGACGAGCAACAGAAATAGCTTTTGCTTTTGTTTATTGGAGGTGATTGGGGACCTCAGAAAAAAATCGCGTTGGTCACAGGGATTCTTTGTGGGACCGATGATTTTTGTTTTGCTGATGGAAGCTCTGGGGGATGGGAATTTCATTCGCTGAAAAGTTGGAGGGTGAGTGCTTGGGTCTCCGTTTGGAGGTGGGAGTTGTGCCGGGTTCGCGGCTCAAGGTATTGGAGGTGATTGGGGTTGTCATGGGGAAACTCAACCGAGGCTTGGAAAGCCCGCTCCATTCTCCACCACATATATTTCACCTAAACCAATTGCAGAGAGAGGGGTCAAACTGTCAAAGCCAAGGGAGAGAGATTGTGGAGATAAGAACTTTATTTTCTGCCCAATTTTCAATTATTCTCTCCTCCGACTGTTCTCTTTCTTTCTCTCTTCTTTTCTCTCTGCGTTAGGCTTCTTCTCTTTCTCAGCAGATGGCGAAGCTGAAGGGATCGACAGGTTTGAGAGGTCCGAAGAAGATCCAGACCAACCGGGAGTGCCTTTGATTTCAGGTTATTCATCCTTCTCTCTGTTAAGCTTGCTTTACTCTTTTTGCAGTTCCCTTCGTCATCTTTTGTTCTCACATGTTCTCTCTTCCATCTCAACTCGCCAGATCAAACTCTCACCGGAGAACTGCCGAACACCCATCGGCAAATTTGACTATAGTGACAGTCTCGATGAATCTCAGGTATATTATCTCTTTGTTTTCTTAGGTTCACATATGAGTTTTTTTTTTTGGATTTTATTTAAGGTTCTTTTTTACTTCCAGATCTGCAACTAGGTGCAGATTCGCTGCAATTATAGCCGAGGTAACTGTGAGATTAAACGGTAAGCTCTTGATCTCTAATTCATGTCATCGCTTTCTGCTTCTTTCCTCTCATCCATGATGGTTAACGACTTTCGCACCTCTTTGTGTTCTCTGGATTTTGGTTTTCAGATTTCCAGACCTCGGTCAACAATGGTCCTATTTGGTACGTTTCCTTCCCCTGTTTGTTTTTTTCGCTATCTGATCTGGCATCCGTTTGCTAAAGTTGTTTGTTATGGGTGCTAATATGGATTTGAGAGGTTTGGCAATGGTACAGTCGTACAAAGAAGAAGCAGTTCTCCAGCTTCCATTGTGTTTGTTCGGTTATAGGTGATTGTTCTTATTCTTTCGTTTCTGCAACAGTTTAATGGGTTCCTTATGTCTTTCTCCTTGGTTGAGCTTCTTTGATTTCTTTAAGGGTAAATTGAGGCGGGGAGTTCGGTGCCTAAGATTTAGACGGTCACAGGTATATTGCAATAGGCGTGTTTTGTTTTTGCTTTTGGGAGACGGACAGAAGGCTAGATATCGTATTCTTTTAATTGATTCTACCTTTGTTTTCTATTTCTCTCATTATTCACATCTCTTTTCTTTGATTTCTCTCAGCTTGGTGTGTTGGCTGCTCTGGACTCCTTTCGAGGGGTTAGGCTGATTTCTCTTCGGTTAAGTGGTGATCGAGAGTTGAATCTCTTCGGCGCCACCGCACCATCTCTAACCATACGAGCATGTATGTATCATCTCAATTTTTCCTCTTCAGATTCATATTAGAGGTGCTGATTTGTCCTATTTTCATCGAGGCGCAGGTGGAATTGTGTGGGGTTCTAGGTTGATCAATGGATTTGGCAGATGCAAAGGGTTTGGAAAAATGAAGATAGTTATAATCATTTTGGTTAGATGTAATTGTTGGACTGCTGAGTTTGTTTTCACAATATTCTTACTAAGTTCATGTTCTCTTACTTTCATCAGGTTACTCCATTTGTCTCCCTTTCTTTTCTGTTCAGACCTGATGCACTTAGATGCTGGATCATAGCTTGAGGTCAGGTCAGGAGTTCTACTTGGATTTGGAAGAGCTTTGAGGGTGTTCCAACAGATTTCCTATTAGATTTGGAATGAGCCACCAACAAAATTTGTCAATTAGTGGCTTCTTCATAAGAAAAACAGTTAATGTAGTGAACCATGCATTGCATATATTTATCATGTGTACACATTCGCCGGGTATATTTCTTGAATTTCAAAATTATCAATTTATATTTCGATGGTTTGTTCAAATCCCGGCGCAGAGCGCGGGCAAGAAAACCTAGTTAATATATAAAAGTCTAACTTTGGATTTACTATTCATTAGTAGTTCTCACACTCCTCCAAGTTCAAGTAGGGAAGTTCCAAATCCTTCTTTTACTCCACTCTCCATTCTACAACCTTTGTTTCGGGACCGAGTTTCGTCCACTTTAGTGTTTTTTTCTTTCACTTTTTTCCTTTTTGTTGAGCATGATCGCAATTGAACCCAAATTCATGGGTATCCAACCTAATTCGATCCGGTGAAAGCAACTTGAAACCGGCTTTAGCATTTATAATAATATTATATAAAAGTCTAACATTGAAGTTACTATTCATTAGTGGCTCTGACACTCCTTCAAGTGCAAGTGAGGAAGTTCCAAGTCCTTCTTTTGCCTCACTCTCCATTCTACAACCTTTGTATCGGGATCGAGTTTCGTCCGCTTTAGTGTTTTTTTTCTTTCACCTTTTTTCCTTATTGTTGAGCACGATCACAATTGAACCCAAATCAATGGGTATCCAACCTAATTCGATCCGGTCAAAGCGACTTGAAATCGACTTTAGTATTTATAAATTTCTCTTTTTTCTTTTGGTTTGGAATTCAATTGAACCCGGATCTAAGGTATTTACGAGTGTTGTATAGTGAGAGAGCTTGATCCGCTTTTATAATTGGCAGGTTGAAGCATGTATTAATTTGTTAAAAAATTGGTCAACGCAAGCTGAACATGTTTTTGACCAGTTTTAGATAGAAAGCAAGTTTTGTACACTTTAATATTGTTTTTATTTCTCGTTTTCTTTTTCATTGAGAATGACAATTGAACTCTAACCCATTGTTGACGTGCTTCGTATTTAGAGCGAGTTTTATCCGCTTTTGTAATTTTCAGGTTTGGTAATTTATGAATTTGTTAAAACTAGGTCGACCCGATCAAAGCGAATTGAACACAATGTTAAGAGTATCGTGAGCGAGTTTTTTGAAATTTTGTATTTTTTTATCTTTTTCCTTTTGGTTTAGAATGACAATTGAGTCCAAACGCATGGGTATCCAACCAAAGCGACTTTAACTCGTGATAACGTCGTATTTGCACCCTCGTTTCTTGATCATTTTGGCTCGAGTTTGTGCTTTCTTAGCCTATTTTATGATAGATTTTGTTTCTTTTTCACATTTCAATTCCTAGCGCAAAAATTGAAGCATAGGCGCAAGTTTCAAGTCAATCGAAGGTCAATTGGCGATTCGGGAGAAGAAACTCGGGCATGACCTGAAGAATAATGGATTTATACCTCATTTTATGGAAAAATAATCATATAAGCTTGTGATGAAAATAAAGAGGACTAGAATACGAGCGTCTGGGATTAAACGGCGACTGATTCAGAGTCCGGACGAGGGAGAAATGAAGCATCGAATATAGTGGAACAAGTTTGGAGGAAGAAACACGGGTAGACTTCCCTTAAAACACGGTCGTGTTTCACTTAACACCCCACCAGTGTTTTTTGTGGCGAGCCTCTATTTTGAAGACTGCTGAAGGGATGCAAAACATGGGCGGGACCAAACACGGACAGGACTAAACACGGCTGTGTTCCCGACCGTGTTTCTGCCCCTGCTCGGGTATAAGTCTGATTTCTACGATTTTAGAGAGGGAGAGCTGGTTTTTTGGATCCCAAACACCCAAGGGAAGAACCCTAGAGAGAGAGAGAGAGACGTGGGAACATACTTGGAGCTATTTGGGAGGATTTTTTCGCCATTGGAGCTCGGGAATCAAGCTTGGAAATGGAGATTGAAGATCTATATCAAATTTCTGCAGTCTCTCTCTTCTCTGTGGAGTAACTTCCCTTCACTTAGGTCTTGAGTAACCCTAGTTCCATGTGTTAGGATCTTTCTTGTGTGAAGTTTTGGATGTTATATTGTTTGATTACAATCGATTGAGGCATGATTTATTGAGTCAATTGAATCCCGATCAAATTCTCTTGATTTCTGCTTTAACCTATGATAGATAGAATATGATTAGGTTGATAGAGCTTCTTCAATTGATAGTAGTGAATTGATTGTGCGAGAGTCAGTCAATTCACTGCTTTGTACTGGAATTCATTCCACGTAGTGGAGATCTGTGTGAATCGCCTAAGCATTCTATCCCGGTGAAGGCTAGTCGTTTGCCGGATAATATGTCCAAGAGGACTTGGTCAGCTTAAGAGATTCAAAGCTAATTTAGGATCTTCCGCAATTTAATCAACAGTAAAACGATCGAAGCGAATTACAACTTGGACCTAATTGAGGAGCTAGGGGAATCATACCTGAGTGAGTTCCCAACCTGTAATTAGTAGTTTAGCCTTAGTTTAGTTAGTAGAGTAGTTTAGTAAATCAATCATTAATCTGGTTTGCTAGATAATGAACTGAAGCTGAGTAATAGAAACTCTAGAACCCTGTGGATTCGATATTTATTACTTGTGCCACTATGCTGCATTCTCTTTCATTGGTTACCCTTCGCCATTAGTAGGAGTTGTGTTTTAGCAAACCAACCCGGTTTTAAATGTTTTCGGCGAGAGCGAGTTTTATCTCTTTTTGTAATTGGCGAGTAATGTCAGGTGTGAATTTGCCCAAAACTCTCAACCAGGTCGAAGCAAGGTGAACCTGGTGTTATGGAGAATTGAGTTGATAGCGAGTTTTAGCTTTAGTATTTCTCATTGTGCTTTTTCCTTTTGTTTGAAAAAAGATAATTGAACTCAATTCCATGGGTATCCAACCTGCAATTAGTTCAAAAATTTCATAAAAGAGAACCACGATTACCTCAAACCCAAAAAAGAAAGCCAAAAGAGAAGGACTATGTTCGAATTTTAGAAGTTTTATGTTTCAAAAGTTGAAGCCAAGCCAAACACCTCTAAAGTTCCGCTTTTTAAAAAGCCGAAGTTTTTTGTAACTTAAATGCAAAAGCTCCGATTTGAAAATGCAAAACTATCTTGACAATATATTATTTTTTTCTAGAAAACATACTTTCTTTCATTTATATCATCATACAAAAATAAATTGAAAATAGTATAATTTATTATGAAATAAATCTAACGTGGTGCATTTTTAATACTTTTTTATTTTTAGAATTTGGATTCATATTTTATGTTAGAAATATTTTCAGTCATTTTACATTACCTCTTATATTAGAAAGTAATTCTAATAGTTTTTCAGCTAAACAGTCAATTAGTTTTTTAAAATACTTTTTGAAAATATCCAGAAAATTGGTTCATTCTGCAAAAGTTATAGCAAGATCAACTACTAGCCATACAAATTGAAACAATAGCGTCATGAAAGTAATTCTGATGGTTTTTTAGCTAAAACTCAATTATTTTTTTAAAATACTTTTTGAAAAGATCCGGAAAAGTTGGTTCATTGTGCAAAAGTTATAGCAATGGGTCTACTTGAATTGGATATAGTATTTATGTTAGAAATATTTTCAGTCATTTTACATTACCTCTTATATTAGAAAGTAATTCTAATAGTTTTTCAGCTAAACAGTCAATTAGTTTTTTAAAATACTTTTTGAAAATATCCAGAAAATTGGTTCATTCTGCAAAAGTTATAGCAAGATCAACTACTAGCCATACAAATTGAAACAATAGCGTCATGAAAGTAATTCTGATGGTTTTTTAGCTAAAACTCAATTATTTTTTTAAAATACTTTTTGAAAAGATCCGGAAAAGTTGGTTCATTGTGCAAAAGTTATAGCAGGATCAACTAATAGTCATACAAATTGAAACAATAGCGTCATGAAAGAAGTTTAAACATAAATAATCATCTATTTGACTACTCTTCTACTTTATGCAAGTTTATCAACCATATGCTATTGTAAATAACAAACCTATGAAAAGAATAATTAAAAATGAAATAAAATTTCTTTCACTTTTGATTAACATTAAAATTATTACTCTTTAAATAATAATTTTCTGATACACGAGCCGACTTGTGCTAGTCTTTATCAATGAACAGCCAGTTAAAGTGAAATCAAAAGGCTATTCCTTTGCGTAGATAACAATTGGGCTTCTAACACTATGAGCTCCGTCGCTCCAATTTAGTGCAGCAGAGGCCAAGAAGTCGCCTTTCGCTGGAAAATTACCTCCCGATACAGTCACGGTGAAAGATTTCTGCTCGTTCAGAGACCCAAAAGCAAGAACAGGCGGCTTCACTTCAATCTTTAGTCTTCCCATGGTTGGCACAATTTGGGATGTGTATGTCGACTTCGCTGTTCCTACGTTCGTCACCGTTCTACGAAATGAAATTTGGAAAGCAGCCCTCGTACCCGAAACATCAGCGCTTATGGAGGGATAGTTAAAGTCCTTAATAGCGGCTGGATCAGCTCGAGCTACGCAACTACTGTTGTTGTCACCGGTTACGGTTCTCAGCCTGTCGGCAGTGTAACCCAAGTTGCAGAGCAAGTTGATGTCGTCCTGTGTTGATGTTTCATACACAAGTCCTGGGTTTGCAGCTCCCACTGGATTCAGTTGCCCCGACCCGAAAGCGAATTCTGTCGATTGATAGGTATCACTTGGATTGCTAACATTCTGCGAATGCATTGGTGACGCTGCAGACATGCCAGAACAATACATGAATTCGATGATTTAAAGGTCAAATATATTATGGTTATGTATGGAAATTAGTACCTGTGGTGATGATTGCGGATTTGATGGCAGAGGGAGACCAATCTGGGTGTAGAGTTTTGAGGTAAGCAGCTACGCCAGCAACATGTGGGCAGGCCATAGAAGTTCCAGATAACACATTGAAACTGTATCGTCTTTTGTCAGAGGGGTCACCAGTTAATGATGCTTCAGGAGAAAACCCAGCCAAGATATCCACCCCAGGAGCACTCACATCCGGCTGGAAAAAACATTAATCCAACGATCACAAACATAGCCAAAACGATTCGATCTCTGACGTTGAAATTGAAATATTGGATAATGAT